TTAGCAGTTTAGCATTAGCGGAGCTAAGATTCTTGTTCAGCAGTTTAGCATTAGCAGAGCTAAGATTCTTGTTCAGCAGTTTAGCATTAGCAGAGCTAAGATTCTTGTTTAGCAGTTTAGCATCAGCAGAGCTAAGATTCTCGTTTAGCAGTTTAGAATTAGCAGAGCTAAGATTCTTGTTTAGCAGTTTAGCATTAGCAGAGCTAAGATTCTGGATTAGCAGTTTAGAATTAGCAGAGCAGTTTAGTGATTTGTTAGATATTTTGCTAACAGACATAAGGTGGACAGCTCATGACAGTCTGGTGTTTGTGTYTGTAGAACCTGATGGCCAAGGCGTTGTACGACAACGTGCCAGAGTCCCCCGAGGAGCTGGCCTTCAGGAAGGGGGACATCCTGACCGTCATCGAGCAGAACACCGGGGGTCTGGAGGGCTGGTGGCTCTGCTCCCTGCACGGCCGGCAGGGCATCGCCCCGGGGAACCGCCTGAAGCTGCTGATCGGACCGGCCTTCGAGGCCCAGCCCTCCCCTGCAGCCGTCCCGTCTCCTCAGAGCTACCAGCAGAACCCCGGCCCGGCGGCCCCGGGCCCCTACCAGAACCAGCAAGACATTTACCAGATCCCCCCGAGGAGCACAGCCGCTGCTGAGAACACGCCCAGTAAGGTGAGTCGGGTTTTACTCCACTAATGAGACGATTATCATCTGATCAGCTCGTTTATTTTAAATAATTCAGAAGATGAACGGTCACAAAGAGCTGATTAAGAACCGGTTTTAACGAGTCCGATGGTTCTGATTGTTGCTAAGTGAGGAGAACACAGGGACCAACAACAGCTGCTACTGATTTTAGATTAATCCTTTCAATAATCCAGACTCACTGTAATCTGAAATCTGCTTCTTTAGGTGAAAACTGGTGGTTTTGTTCAGGATCTTATTTTGACCCGGGTCCAGTCGGAGCAGTGTTCTGGTTGATTTCTATTTTTTTATGTCAGAATTTATCTAATTGTGGGTTTCTCCAAGACTACAGAGACTCAGTATATTTCAGCTGCTATTCAGCAGATTTCAGCTGTTATTCAGCAGATTTCAGCTGCTATTCAGCAGATTTCAGCTGTTATTCATGATGAATGGACCGCCTTTGTCTTATTTTCTGTTGGGAGCCGATCCTCTTTCAGCTGCTTCCTGTCTCAACCAGCAGCCGAACCCTGATAGAAGTGATCTCCTTGATCCCATTTAATGCACCTTCCTCCTCCTCCTCCTCCTCCTCCTCCTCATCCTCCTCCTCCTCAGGCAGGTCTGTGCTGAAACATGAGGCGAAATGTTCGGTTCATTCAGCCGTTCAGCTCTCGGCTCCTCAGACGAGCCGAGGCCTCCAGGTAGGGTCGGTACTCAGACTCAGGTGTGTTTTATCAGGTAAAACAGGCACCTGGAGCTGAAGGACAGAGCTGTCAATCACTCCTTTGTCTTAACGAGCCTTCAGCTCTTAACGAGGAAAGTTCTTCTGGGATCAGATTAAATCTAATCTTAAATCTGTTTTTGTTGCAGTTATTTCCTTAAACTCCGGTAAAAACCAGATTAAACAGTCTGACCGTTTATTGATGACTCAGCCTTTTTTTAAAACCATTTCCTGTCGTTCCATCAGACTGAATCTGTGTTTGGTTCCTGAAATTATTACTGGGCCTGATCCCGACCTTCAGAACCAGTACTCAGTTTACCCCCCGAGCACCGAGGTGGGTTTCTGTCGGTCCCTTCGGCTGTTTGGTTCCAGCTCGTTCCTCTTATTTCAGCTTCGGCTGTTTCTTCTGAAGTGGTGAGGGATAATCGTAGGCTGAGGTTTGGTGGTCTCCTCTCTGCTTGTTTGGGTTTAGGCAGGGTTCTGGTCCCCGGTCGGCCCCTCTTTCCTGGCCTCGGTTCTGGGACAAAAGCCTGGAGCTGGTGGGACACGTGGTTCTGGTCCGAGAGGCCCGCTTGTCTCAGCTCGCTGCAGACTTCCTCCCTGCTTCCTCTGAGGTGACATCAGCTTCGGCTCTTATGTGCTCCTTCCAGACCCGGGTCCACCACCTCCTGACCCGGGTCCAGTCGGCTCACCGGTCCAATAACAGGTTTGATGGAGTCCAGACTGGTCCAGGAAGTGGTCTGATAAGGGTTTATGGGTTCCAAAGGTGCGACGCAGATAAAGCTCCAGGTAACAGGTGTGTTTGTCTCAACCTGAGGTCCAGATCAGGAACTCAGATCCTCCAGTTCTGAAGAACCGGTCCTCTGAGGTCCAACTAAAGGACATAAATCCAGTCTGCAGTGAGCAGGATACAGAAAAACAAAAACTGTCCAACAGTTCCTGGGACACGAAGAAAACCAGGAACCAGTTTCAGTTAAGAACCCAAGTCTGGCTCAGTTTCAGCACTTTGGTCCAGACCAGAACCTCTCAAACAGCTGAAGTCCAAAAACCTCCTGCAGATGGTTCAAATGTTTGGTCTTCAACGTTTGGACCAGATCTATCAAATGGACCGGGACTCTAGTGGACCAGGAAGTTCCAGGTCTTTGTGGTTCCTGGGTTCCTTCCATTTGAGGAGGACAGGTGAGTCCTGGTGGACATTAGGAGGACAGGTGAGTCCTGGTGGGCATTAGGAGGACAGGTGAGTCCTGGTGGACATTAGGAGGACAGGTGAGTCCTGGTTTTACAGCTAAAGGTTTCAGCTGTCAGTAAACCTGAGCTAAAGAACATTTATAGTTGCTAAACATCAGCCAAAATGTTCCTTTTTGTCCCTGAGGTCTTCCTCTGGATGTCTTTCTTGAAGGTTAATCCCTGTCCATCAGACTGGTCGTTAACGTCTCTGATTCTCAGATTATGGAGACGAGGGATTAAAACTCTGCTTTGATCTCAGAGGATGATCTTTATTAAAGCAGCTACAGTCAGACGGTTCTTTTTTCAGGCCGCTCATTAAACCCGCCGTCTGTTTGGGTCCAACCGTCCGGACCTGTTCTGGAGCCGGTCCACGGCCTCGTGGGACTCAGGACTGGTTTACCTGCATTAATTAGAAGCTTCTGACAATAAAACATTCAAAAAATAAATGTTAAATCAAGCAGAACAGCAGCTAAAACATAAAGAACTGTAGGTAAATCATAAAGATCAACAGCTAAAGCATGAAAAACAGTGGCTAAAATGAGCGGAACAATAAACAGGTTTTAGCTGATAGTTTTGTTGTAAACAGATTTTAGCTGATAGTTTTGTTGTAAACAGGTTTTAGCTGATGGTTTTGTTGTAAACAGGTTTTAGCTTATAGTTTCTTGTAAACAGGTTTTAGCTGATGGTTTTGTTGTAAACAGGTTTTAGCTGATAGTTTCTTGTAAACAGGTTTTAGCTGATGGTTTTGTTGTAAACAGGTTTTAGCTGATGGTTTTGTTGTAAACAGGTTTTAGCTGATAGTTTCTTGTAAACAGGTTTTAGCTGATAGTTTGTAGTAAACAGGTTTTAGCTGATGGTTTTGTTGTAAACAGGTTTTAGCTGATAGTTTCTTGTAAACAGGTTTTAGCTGATAGTTTGTAAACAGGTTTTAGCTGATGGTTTTGTTGTAAACAGGTTTTAGCTGATAGTTTGTTGTAAACAAGTTTTAGCTGATAGTTTGTTGTAAACAGATTTTAGCTTATAGTTTTGTTGTAAACAGGTTTTAGCTGATGGTTTTGTTGTAAACAGGTTTTAGCTGA